CCCTGAGGCTCGCGGCCCTGGCGTCTCCGCTCCAGAGTTTTCCCGCCCTGAGCCGCCGCCAGCGTCCGCGGGTGGGACTCCCCGACGCCGGCCGGTGTGGACGGACACGGAACTGTCAGAGACGAGGACACGCCAGCAGCTGTCGTTCCGCCGCCGCTGCGGCCCTCTGCTGTGGGCCGGGTGCTGGGAGCGGGCATTTCCCTGACTGTCTCCGCGTTCAGAGAGCACCGAAACCCCGCGGGCGCGTACCCCGCCCCGGGACGGGCGGGTGGGGACTCCCAGCTCTCGTTGAGTGACAGATGACGCGGGGGGCCGCGCTTCCTGTCCAGTGGGTGGCTGAGTGGCGACAGCGCAGCCTCGGGGTGGAGGTGTGCTCTGCACACACGCACCGGCGTCCGCGGGGGCCCGACCCCGGCGGCGGCCCCTGTGCCGAGGGGCACCGCGTGGACCCTGCTCTCGGGTGTGCCAAGCGAGTGGACACTGGGTACGGCCGCCCTCTCCCGCTCTGCTGGCCAGTACCTCGTGGTCACCAGAGACATCGGGGCTAGCGCGTGAACGCCAGGCTCCCAGAGGCCGGGGGGGCCCCGGGCTGGCCTGAGCGGACCAGGCAGGACGGAACCAGGCGGAGGCAGCACGACGCGCCCCAGCCCCACCCCCCGCAGGGAGGCCAGGCCACTGTCCACGGGCCTTGGAGCCGGGGAGGGTCCCCCGCCTGCCCGGCCCAGCTGGCCCGGGGCTTCCTGCGCCTCTGGTGTCCTCAGAGCTCTGCAGCGCCCCCTTGCCGGTGCGTCCCCCGGGGGCATGCGCGCAGCAGGAGGACGGTCCGGCCTGCCCCCCTCACTGTGCGGCCTGAGGCAAGTCCCTCCCCGCTGTGGGCGCCAGCGTCCTCCTGCCAGCCAGGTGCCCCCTGGAGCCCCACGCCCGGCCCACGCCGGCCCTGGGGCGTCTGCTCATCCGTGTGTCCCCAGGGCGTCTGGGCCTGGGGCACAGCTCGTGACCAGTCAGAGCGGTGGGCAGCTGACCAGAGGCCGGCCCGGAGGGGCTGCAGGAGCCCAGCGGGTGCAGCCTTAGGCGGTAACAGCAAGGGCAGCGGCGGGGCGGGACCCCGGCGCCCCGAGCCTGCTTCAGCTGCCCCCACTCCCGTGAGCGGGACAAGGGGCAGCTCGCGGTCAGGCCTGGGAGTG